CAGTTAGTGGGACAGAAATGTCTTCTAAACATGTGGTACTACCAGAGCAATGACCATAGAAAATGAGTCCAAATGTGATGGCTGCAGAGAGGAAATGTGGGAAGATGAGGACTTTCTTGAATGGTCTTGGCAGAAGTGCCATGTGAGCTCAAGTACAGAGGGGACAACAACATCTCGGGCAGTGCTGGCCTGTTTGTAAAACAGACACCCACGGTTCTGCTTAAAGCTGGGTGAGCCCACTGTCTTCGTTTGCTTTCTATTGCTGTGATAAACCACTATGACCAAAAGCAGCTTGGGGAGGAGAGGGTTTGTTTCGTCTTACAGTTTGCAGTCCATCATCCAAGGCAGACAGGGCGGGAACTTGAGGCAGGAACTGATGCCAAGGCCATGGAGGAGAGTTGCTTACTCGCTTGCATTCCATGGCTTGTCCGGTGTGCTTTCCTACAGCACTCAGGACCACTAGCTCTGGGGTGGCACTGCCCAAAATGATCTAGCCCCTCCCACATCAGTCATCAATCAGGCTTGCTCACAGGCCAATCTGGTGGCCACATTTCCTCAACCTTCTTCCAAAATGACTCTAGCTTGTGTCAAGTTGGCATAAAACTAGTCAGCACACCTACTAATCAACTTAAGTCCAGACATATGTCATATGAACAAAGCGTTCCCAGGATAAAATAAAAATAAATAAATAAAATTTTTAAAACCATTTTTTGTTTGGTTTTGGTTTTTCAGACAGGGTTTCTCTGTGTAACAGCTCTGACTGTCCTGGAACTTATTTTGTCAACCAGGCTGGCCTCGAACTCACAGAGATCTTCATACCTCTGCCTCCAGAGTGCTGTGATTAAAGGTGTGTGCCACCACAGCCTGGCTAAAGAACTTTTTTAAAAAAGATTTTAACCGAGAAATATGCTTAAGTCTTGCATTATTTTTAATTCTATCTTTGGGAGGCCTGAATAAAGGTTTAGAAGACACCAAAAAGACAAGAGAAAATCATCCAAGACATAACACCAAGATAAAGGGGGAAAGAAAGGAAAGTTGGAGAAAGAACATTTCAGCCCTCACTCAATTATTCGGTTGATTCCTTTAAACAGTTTTTGGGTTTTTGTTGTTTTTTTTTTTTTTTGCGGGGAGGGGTTGTTTTGTTTGTAAAGTGAAGTAATGTCTTTTTTTTTTTCTAGGAAAAAGGTGTATTTGAGGATAATAAAGACAGTGAGCAGGCTCTGTATGTGGATCCTGTGCTTACAGAGATAAGTGAAATCTCTCCGCTGGAATACCATCACACAGGTTACAAGGAAGAAAGGCTCACAGGACTCCTGGAGACAAAAGACTGTCCGCTAACAACACTGTCTACCAGTTCTTCTGTTGTGTATATTCCTGATCTCAACACTGGATACAAACCCCAGATTTCAAACATTCCCCCCGGGGGAGACCATTTCATTAACAGGGATGAGAGGGAGTCTGCAACCCTTGAGGCCACAAGTGACCACTTTACCAGACTGAAAACATATCCCAACTTTGCATTTCCTGCCTCAAGTATGACTTTACTGAGCAAAATACTAATTCTTGATGACTTGAACCTCATTTCAAATCAAGGTGAATTCAATCCTCTTGACATAAAAAACTCAAGACAGGAGGAAACAACCGTGACTTTGGAAAGTGACACACCCCAGGAAACTATTCCAGAGCAGACCCTGCTGTCTGATGAATTTGTCTCCTGTTTGACAGTCAGGAGCGAGGACTTGGCATCTATTAATTCTTACTTTCCACAGAACATTTTGGAAAGCCAATTCGGTGGGATTTCACTCTTGCAAAAGTAGACTCTCCCATCAAAGTCAGTAAGAGAGGCTGCCTTTCCACTGAAGGCCAAATCTTCCCTCCCAAGAGTGTAATTACACTTACACGACACCAGGAATGAACATCCCTGGTTGGCAAAGCAAACAAAACAAAAACAAGGAGGTAGATTTGTTTGCTTGTTTCCAGTTTCATGTTTAATGTTTCCACTTGAGACGGGCGCTCACATAGCCAGGCTTGACTCTAACTCACTACATGGCGGGAGGATGACTGAAGCCTGGCTTTTCCTGCCTCTTCCTCTCAAGTGCTAGGACTAAAGGTGTGTGCCACCAGGACTATTTCTTTTCATAGTTTCTTCATTAGGTTGTACAGAACAGCTCTGCTTGTATAAAGGGTAAGCAGTGATGAATACGCAGTGGTAAAATAAAAGTAGAAAACAGGTCTTTAAAATGAAAACGAACATTTCCTGGCAGAGGCAGAATCAAATTTAATTTTGCCTTATCACTTAAAATTAGATGTAGAACCAAACAACAAAACAAGTAAAGCAGAAACAGACGCTAGCAGCTAATATTAACATACTTGCTTACTGTTCTTCCAATGCGGTCCTTGTTTTAGATTAAAAGATTGTGAATCAGTGGTGGTTGGAACCATAGGCCTGCTTTCTCCATCCAGGTTAGGAGTGGTGGGCCTTAACAGGTATTTTGAATCCCCGGTAGTAGGTTCCTCCATCAATAGAGTAAGCCAAATCGAGCCCAATTAAAAGTAAAGGACCAGGTTTAATCTGAGCAAAGCATTTCTGGGTGATCTCGGGGGAAGGAAAGAGGGGAAATCATGTGGCAGGTTTATGGACCAGAGCCTAAATACCCTGTAGGTGTGGTCTTGATCAGCTCCAGGGAAGGAGCCGCTACTTGGCTTGCTTTCTGAAAGGGACAGGTTTGAGGCGGATTTTCCAATGGAACAGGGATCATACTGTGGCAAACACCAGTATTTACCTTCTAGCAGAATCTATGTGAGGCAGGAGACACAGGATTGGCAAGACAGGTGGTTTGACTGTTATTTTCAACTGTATGTTGAGTATGTCATAAACAGATGTGTATCCTACTCTGGAATGGTGAACATTTACTCCATCTGCCCTTGTCCTGTAGCCTGTGTCTCCTGCAGACATTGCAGGTTGGTCCCTACATGCCTCGGTTTACTTTTGTCTCATTCTCTGACACCATTGTGATCCAAAGTAGAACAACTGGTTACAAATGTAAAAAGCTTAAAACCTGATGGAAATTCCGTTGTCTAATCCTAAAATAGATACGTCTTTGTTGTACTTTACATAATCTAAAAGGGATGCTTTATGTCTCTCACAAAATGCAATTGTTAAATATCCTGACTTGTAAAGCATCATGACTTTGCTTTATTCTTCTCTAAAGAGAGACTGACAATAAGAGACAAAGGCAGGTCAGATCTGATACAAAAATGGCAAGACAGATTCATCTTTTGTTTGTTAGATGATCTGGTATATTGTGAAGGATATTTCCATAGGTCATTTCATTATAATCATAAATCTAACGCATTTAGAAAGCTTTTGCCAGTTCAAAGGATGAAAGCAAAGAGTTCTTTGCTCTTCTGTCAAGGCTTCCGGAGCAGTGCGTGCCCCTGACACCAGGCAGTGTGAAGGGAGCAGCAGTTTTTGTTATGTGGTGTCTCCTCCCACCACATCCCTGTTCAGCACAGGAAAAACTTTTTTAGCTTACAAAGTAACAGGTTTCTCTGTGGCTTTTTCATATAGACCTAGCTTTGGTTGACACTCTCTCCACTTTCTGTCCTTGTGCCCATGCCCACTTAAGCCCTCCCACCCCCAGGACTGCCACTTGTACTTGCAAAGCACATGTGTTCTAGTACCCTCCCCTTGTCTCCCCTTAAAGCCCTTCCCCCCGCCCCATCTCAAGAGCTCCTTTCTAGGTCCCTGGCCTCTACCCATACTCACATCTACAAATGCACATGTAAAAAAATTAGAACTAAGGATCCACATAAGAGAAAGAACATGCAAATGTTGTCTGTCTGAGCATGGGTTACTTCATTTCATATAACATCTGGGAGAGGAAGAGCTGGTTAACAATGGATACTGCTCTTGCAAAGGACCCGAGTTCCAATCGTGGTATCCATGCTGGTTGAGTCACAGCTACTCAAACTCCAGGGGATCTGACAGCCTTTCCAGTCTCGGAGGGTACCTGCATTCATGCATACATGCTCCCACACCTACAAACACGTAATTTAAACATGCTTATAGGAAACAATATATAATATTTTCTTGTCTCACCCATTTTCCTGCAAATTTCATAACTTCATTTCTCTTTGCTGCTGAATAATATTCCATTGGGCATATGTACCACATTTTTACTATCCACTTATCGGTTAGTGGACATCCAGACTGGTACCATTCCTTGGTTATTGAGAGTAGAGTAGCAATGAAGGATGAACAAAAACTCTCAAACGGATGTTAAGTCCTTTGGGTCTAAGCCCAACAGTGGTTGTATAATAGATCTATTACTAGGGTTTTGAGGACTTCTCCACACTGCTTTCCACAGTGTCGGCACCAGTTTAAACTTCTACTGACAGTGCATAATGGTCTCTTTCTCCACGTTCTCGTAGTATTTATTTCCTTCATAACAGCCAGTCTGCTTGGGGTGGGATGGAATCTTAAAGTTGTTGTTTTTATATAACATGATTATTTATTGATTCTTAGGAAATTTCATATCACGCACCCCAATCCCACTCACCTTCCACTCCCTCCATATCTGTCCCTCACCCCCACAGCTTCCCCCTAAAAAGAAAAGCCAAAAAAATTAAAAACAAGCAAAAAACTTCCTCACTCCTCCATCTTCTCACCTCTCCAACATCTCTTCAGTTATCCTGGTGGCACTGGGAACTGTGGTGTGTCGAACAGTGTACCCTTTTATCGACTCAGTTTTACTTGTAAATGTTCATTACAATGAGTTGTTGGTCTGGTTGAAGACCTCTGGTTTCTGGCACACCATCGTCATTGGACCCTCACTCATCTGAGAGTCCTCTCAGACATCCTGCTATTGCCCTGAGTCCTAAAGATCCTGCAGCTATTGTCCAGTTCCACAGGACCAGTCCCCTCATGCACTCCAGCAGGTCACAGATGGTGTAGATGTTAGGGTGGGCCAGCCCAAGGCCCAGGATGTGGACCTGAGTGGTAGTTGAGCTGGTCAGTCCAAGCTACTGGGACCAACGCCCTCCAGTGAGGGGTGGAGCCAGCTCTCCCTATAACCATGCCATCTGGACCAGCTCTCCCACACTTGTGGTGAGGGGTGGTGCCATCTCTCAGGAGTGCAGGGGAGACTGCTCTACCATGAGGGGTGGAGCCAGCTCTTATGCTGCAGTGTCCATCAAGGGACAGGGCCAGCTATCTCAAGGCCAGTGAAGGGCAGGGCCGGCTCAGCACTGCCCTCGGATTTCAATATTCATAGTTCGTATTCCCCTATGTGGTAACATGGGCCATAGAGATCAACACAGATCCCAGCTGCTGCAGGACCATAGACCCAGACATGATCTAGGCAGCAGCTTGGGCCTGGACATCACTATGGCCCTGGGTGGCAGCACAGGACACCCAGATCAGTCTGGTCCTGGTAGCAGCATGGCCCTCAGATACCAACATGGTCTCAAGTGGCTGACCAGACCCCTGACATTGGTACAGCTTTCGATGCTATCAGGAGCCATAGACATCAACACAGACCCTAGTTGTGGTAGGGCCACAGACCCAGACATGGCCCTAGGCAGCAGCCCAGACCCAGATGATACCATGGCCCCAGCTAGCAATGCAGGCCACTCAGATCAGCATGGCCCTAGAGGCTGTGTGGCTCTTGGAAACCAACATGGCCACAGATCTCAGGCATCCATGTGGCCTTTGGTGGCAACATGGTCTGCAGACATCAACACTGACCCCAGTTGTGGTAGAACTATGGACTCAGACATGATCCTCGGCAGCAGCCTGGGCTTGGATGTCACCATGGCCTCAGACGGCAACACAGGCCACTCCAATCAGCATGGCCCAGTGGCAGCATGGCCATTGGATGCTGGCTTGGCCCTATGGCATTGACACAGCCTTCAATGGTATCAGGAGCCACCTTCGATGTTATCAGAGCCACAGACATCAACAAAGACACTGGCTGCACCATGGCTATGGACCCAGACATGGCCCTTGACAGTAGCTCAGGCAGGCCTGATGTCACTGGGGTCCTGGGTGGTAGAATAGGCCACTCAGATTGGCATGGACCCAGTGGTGGCATGAACCTTGGATACCCACATGGCCACAGGTGGCAGCCCAGACTCCTGTTGTCCTTGTGGACTTTGGTGGCAACATGGGCCATGTATGTCAACACAGACCCTGGGTGCAGTAGGACCATGGGCCCAGACATGCCCTTGGCAGCAGCATCCCAGGACCAGATATCAACCTGTCCCCAACTGGCAAGCCAGCTACGCACATCAGCCTGTTCCTCATCTCTTTGCTTCTTCAGTTCTGTCTCTCGCTACAGCACGTGAACTGTTCTGATTCTCTTCCTCTTCCATTTTTTCCACCATACAGTTGTTCATCATAATGGTATCTACCTACCTGGTGCCACAAGCCAGGCTGGGCCAAACGGTGCCAGATGGGCCTGTGGATGTCTCCAGCCAGCCTGAACTGTGAGGACCCAGGCTGCAGAATCTCAAAGTTTTAATTTGCATTTCCCTGATGTATAGTGATCTTGAACACTTTAAAAAAAAAAAAAAACATTTACTTACTCTTTGAAGAACTCTGTTAACTCCCTAAGCTTGTTTTTAAAAATCAGGTTGTTTGTATTCTTTTCAGGTATATTTACGTGTATGGGTATTTTGCACACATGCATGTCTGTACACCATGTGCATATGGTGCCCGTAGAAGCCACAAGAGGGTACTGAATCCTCCTGGACTGTAGTTACAAATGGTTGTGAGTCACCATGTATCTGCTGGGAATTGAACCCAGGTCCTCCG